GCACCTCTCCAGTGCACCACGAGTGCTCGTAAAGCTGTGCCAGGGGACCTGCAATGACCTCGGCCAGTTCCTTTAGAACTCTAGGGTGGAGATCATCCGGACGGCTGACTTGAATACGTCCAGCCCCTCCAGAAGCTCCCTTACTAAGTCCTCGCTAACCCTTGGCCCAGGTGTGCCTCCCCCGGGGCCCGAAGGGGGCCCGGCTGGGAGGTTGCTGTTCTGGTCCCTACTTAGGAAGATGGAGGCAAAGAAATCATTAAACATGTTAGCTTTGTCATCTGGTGTGATGACCAAGTTTCCCAACGCATCCTGCAAGGGCCCCACATTACCTGGGACCTTCTTTTTACCCCCTATGTATTTAAAAAAAGACTTCTTATTGTCCTTAATCTGGGAAGCTAGCCCCAGTTCCATCTCTGCCTTGGCCTTCCTAACTATCCCCCTACATCCCCGAGCAACTGCAGAATAGCCCTCCTTGGTGATGACCCCTTCTTTCCATTGGGTGTAAGCCACCTTTTTAGCGAGGAGACATTCCCGGATGCTTTTGGTGAGCCATGGGGGCTTATGCGCCCTTCTGCTCCCTTTGATCCTCGTTGGGATTACCTTCCTTTGGGCTTGGAGGATCATCTGTTTGGGGCAGTTTCCCTTATGTTGTGCGGCTCTTTCTCAAACAGCAGCAGTAAACAGTGTATTTAATGGAGAAAAACGGGGCAAATTTAGTGCTACAGCTAGATAACATGTAACCTTTGTAAAATTTATCCTGTGTACTTGCACACTGAGACAAAGGCAATGAAAATAGGCAAACTAGGAGGAAAGGGATAGAAACAGTCAGCAAGCTTCTAATCCTGTTAGACTGCATGCATCTTAATCAGGGTCCAATTGCTCCATACTGAACCCAGAATTTTATTGCATTTAGGTGCAAGTGGCATGAGGAAAATGATATCCTAATCTGTGCTTTAGCATCCTGCAAGAAAATTACGTGAGTACTGAAAAGAGTTGTTTCCAACATGTTGGAAACTTAATTTTTGACTGACTCTTCCTGTGTAGTTTTATGCCTTTGACTTCTCAGACTCTTAATGTGGTTCCAAAGTCTTAGCATTTTTCCTAGTGATAGCCCTTCAGTAGTGTGTTGGTGGCTTTTTTTAAAACTTCCTGTCATTTGAATGTTAGCAGTATGATGACATTGTGCTGTAACGGTGACGCACGGAAATGTAGCCTGGTAACCCAGTGACTGGACTAAAGTGTTGCTATCTTGTTAAATAAAACACATTCCCTATAAGAATTAATTGTTCTTGCACAGAGGCTCAGCATCCATATTTTGGCTGAAACAGCATCCTCTTTTTCACTGATCCTTTCTCTCTCACCCTTGCCTGAAAATCCAGGTTTGGGGGGGGCGGGGAGTGAAACGCACATCATTCCAGTAAAACTCTTCTCTTTTTCCTATCTCTCGGTCTATGTAGCTATTGTATTAGTAGTTCTCTGGCCAGTGTGTATGGAATCTCACTGACCGAAGCTCACCTACCTCTGCAAGACTGTATATCTAGCAATAACCCAAGTCCAAAGGTGGCAATACTGGATGCTGGACGTTTCCAGGTTAGCTTCTTTTATATATTGATGGTGAATGTATTTTGGACTAATGTAACTAACTGTCTTGGGTGTCTAACCTCCCAATATCAGACTGTAATATGAAGATGGGTAAATGCCCTGGCTGATGCTGCCCTATCAAGAGTATGCTCCACTAGCTGGCTGGTCAGGTTTCTGAAGCTTACTGCAGGCCATTTGCAAAGTGCACTTCTCAGTGGAGGTCACCAGTAGTGGGATCCTTTCTGATCAGATGTGAACTCTCAGTACACTTGTGAATGGGTAGTTGGACTGCATGTATAGGCATATGACGCACACTAATGAACCATCAGACAGTGAAGACTCCAGGGAGTTCATGCAGGCAGTTGGGCCAGCTGACCTTGAGGTCCCTTCTTGCCCTATGGTTCTGTTTTATAAGGACATTAGACTTCCTGTCTCTTTCTCAAATCCTCCTTATTTGTCAGGGCACTGAGATTTTTGCCTTGGTATGTTAAATGCTGCTTTCTGGCCATACGTTGTTATGTTCTGCATCTGGCTGTGACCTGACTGTGGGTCATTTTCAATGCACCCTTCCCCCCACCCCAGCTGCTTCTAGGTTGTGTCTCTGCTTCTTAAACTACTTAAGCCATATGCATCTGTTTCTTAAAACCTTAAGATTCCTGACAATAGCAGCCAGATATTCAATAGTGCAGTATTGCCTGCATCTCTGTCTGTCATGTTGAGTATCATGAGTTGGCATTATATGAAGGCATTTAATAATTTTGAGGATATTTTTATATTTGTTCCTCCTACAGAAACTGAGGGCTCAAGATCCTTGGTCTACCAGATATTTTACTTCTCCAGTTCAGGATCAAGGATCTTTCTCTTCTGGTGAGTCTGAGGCTTTTGTGTTTGGAAGAGGAAGGAATGAGTATTAAGAGTAGCAGACAGCTGCACCACAGTCATTGTTCTGTTTTTAGCCCACTCAACTTTCTGGACAAAGTAGATGGGTTTTATGATTATCCCATTATCTTGTTTGGATAGTACAGCTTCAGATCTTCCCTGGGTACTGCTGTGAGCTTTTTTCTTTTTTTAACTCCCAAGATGGGTGATACTAACCTTTTAACGAACTCATGCATATGCATAAAAAGGGGGTGGGGATCTTTTTACCGGACAGAATTTCCACAGCAAAGAAATTTTCCTCGGGTCCAGTCTGTTCAGCACTCCATTAGGCAGCCGTCTGCTGCCCTCCTCCTGCCAGTATACACCAGGAATGAAAAAACTCTCCGTGGTAACCTTGCTTCAGATACATATCTTCAAAACACTTCATCCACTATGAAACATATAGGACAGGAGAACTCGGTGAATAACAATTTCATTGGAAATTCTAACATAACTCTCTGTAAACACTAAAGTTGTTGAAAAATCTTCCTTTTTGTGTAACCTTTTCCATATGATAAAAACACTTTATCATATGGAAAGTGCATAAGCTAAAATTGAGTTTGAGAGCAGGCAAATCAACTTTTTTCTCTAAATCCCAAAGCACAATGTTGCCTAAGGGGAACTGAACAGATCATGGGTAGTTAGTTTGCAAGAGCTTTTAAACAGTTTAAATGGTTTTGCATCATTTACTACCAATTTTATAAGTTTTTACCTGCGTAGTTGCTTGCAGTATAAAATGTAATGCATGGCATTTGCTTAAGACATGCCAGAAGAGTTTTTTCTTTAACATTTTTTTTTAAATAACTGTGGGGTGGGGAGACTTGTTACCTGTGCGCAGGTGCCAGTATATCGTGCCTATTTCTGCTCCTATTTCTGCTTAAACTTGCTACCTTTAGTAGAATTGAGTTTGGGGGAAGAGACAGTGGGACTTCCATTTGAAGTTCAGTAGTTGTGTTCAATGCAGGTGGATTGACTTTCTTAGGAAAAATCTAAACACCAGTGTTTTCTTTAACACTAGTTTGATCAAGAGTTGCATTTAACTCCTGATGTAAGCTGTGGGTGCTTTTACGCAGGCTTTTGAACAACCAATAGAAATGTTAAATGGCAAAAAGGCCTCATCTAAGATGCATTCAGTTAAAATCATGTTGGTACCTGATCCACAGTCCCACCAGTCGCACCTCCTACCATGCCAGATGTGATTCTGAGATTGGAGATCAGACCCCAGTTACACCCTACTTGCCAGTGCAGAGGGAGCCCAAGATGATGATAGGCTTCCTCTGCACCAGCAAAGGTACCTAACAATCAACAATTCTTGGCTGGCTCCAGGGACCTACCAGGGCAACTTAAGCCCCAGTGATCAGTTGCCATTGAATACTGGGATGGTCTACCAGGCCATGAATTCATTTTAAGTTGTAATGGAAACCAGCCATCAAATTATTACATTCTTTTTGTGTGTAATAATTTTTTGGCTCGTCTTGCTTTTTGTTGCACCATTAGTTGCATGTACATATGGCCAGGTTACATTGTGACAATTAAGTGATTCTCAACTTAGGCCCAGGGCAGACATTACCCTGCCGTTGACACTTAAGTATAAAGACTCCAGAATAGTTAATGTCATTGTTTTTATCTTGGGTCAGTCCTGCAGTGAATGACAACTCATTCTTTTGAGGTGTTTCTTTAAGCTATTTGTAGATGCAAGCAGACATCACTTCAACACACTGTTCATGCATCAAAAGATGGCTTCCTGTGCATCTGTAGGGAATGACTATGTCCAGTCTGAGATTTGCCCTGTCTTCAGGTGCTGATATACTGGATAGAATGCCACTGAACTGATGCAAACTCCTTTAATCGATGGGATGAACCACAGCTTGCACTGGTACAGTTCACTCCCCCTTGAAAATAGGCTGAATGCAGTAGGGGTTGGAATTAGTACAGTTAAATCACTGTCCATGACTGGTTTAGTTATTAATGTAGAAAAGAATCTAGGAAATGAGAGCCACACACAAGATAAAGGAAAGTCTGGTTTTTGAAGTACAAGATAGGAGACAGTGGGCAAAAATACCAGTTCTGTAAACTAGGCTGACTCACCCAACAAGCAAAGTCAGGCCTTTCCAGAAAAGAGGATGTCCCTTAAAGGTGGCCTTGGTGTATATTAAGGCCAGTAAACAATACCTAGAGTCCCTTCCTTGGAAGTATATATGATAATTAACAAGTTCTTCTCTGCTAATTTCAACTGCATCAATAAGAAGTAGAGAAGGTTCCTCCACTTGTGTTCTTTAAATGCCAACTTGACTTGTACAATGTATGGTTTCATTTCATAGGTGACTCCCCCTCTGGAGTGAAGATGCCATGTGGAAAAAGCACTGTGAAAGGAAGAGGAGTTGTTCGCTTTCTGGAAAACTTCTCCAATGTACCCAAGTCTTCCAGCAGCTGAAAGCCCACCCTACTTCCTAACCTCATTCAGGATAGCTCCGTGTTCTGTTGTCGTCTTGCTAGAATAGTAGTGTGGGATAGTGCTTGAGAGAAGTTGCTTTGTTAATTCTTATGTGAAATCCTAACATCTCAACCTCTTGTTTTCTTGACTAAAGGCATCACTTCAGCTTTAGTTTCATTGTCAGTAGAAGCACAGATACAGAAAGTGGTGGTGGTAATAATAGTCAGTGGCTATGTGTGTTTAGATTTTTCTGATGGTTTAATATAGTAGCAAACAAGTTGGTTGAATAGCTTTTATTTATACATTTACCTCTGTTCTTCCTTTCATTATTGTGTCCTATCCTGTCCATCCATCCATTTTCTTCTACAGACACTCCCTCTGTTCTTGAACATTAAGATTAGAAAATCAATCAGCAACTACTGACTGAAAGACAGTCCTGTCTCCATAAAGTCAAAATAATTCCCAGTGGATGGGTAAAGGGCAATGTGGGAAGTATTCCTGAGGGAATGCTGCTATAAATTCAGGCTGTCCCTTGCCCACAGATTTGTTTTTAGTGTTTTCTTGAAAAAGCTACATCCCCCCCCCCATAAATTTTACTCGAAAAAGTTGCCAGCTGGTTGGTTTTTTTTTTTTCATTTAGATGCTGAAAATAACACTATTTTTTGTGTTGTGCTTTATTTTTTTAACTTGTATTTATTTTTTTGCTCTGTATACCTTTGCTAGCAAATACTGACATAACAATCTAATGTCATCTGTTTCTTAACCTTAAGATTCCTGACAATAGATTATAACATCTTTTCTTTAAAAATTCTGAACCTAGTAGTGTTCTTTACATTTCAGAGTTAGCAGGTTTGGGATAATGCTGGTCAAAAGTATTTGAGTACCAGTAACGGTGGAAGACAAAACTGAGAAGAGTGATTGCATTCTATTAACGAACTAGATTCTGTACCTTAAGGAACAAATGGATATTTGATCAGTTTACTGGGAAGTTGTTTTGTTCTGAATGCTATTTAATTTTTTTTTAGTCAGTTGCCTCTGTTCATTAATTTTCAAGGGGAAAAAAAAAGAGTTTAAGTGTTGAAGTGATATTGTAGCTGTAATAGTCCAGGAAATGTGCATGAGGCAAGAGTTTTGGGTTTTTTTTAAATGGGTGATGCCTTTTAGTGATCGTAGTAGAGAAATAAATATACAAGCTGTTGGGTACTAGGCAAGTTTCTTTGGAAACCTAGAGAGGCATGCCTTGTACCCAAGAACTTGTCTAAATCTCTCCCAACCATCCAGTTAGTCCAATAAAAGTATTGTCCACAACAATCCTATCTTGTTGATCTAAGATGCTTTTACACCTTCTTCCAACTAAAGTGGCTGTTGTATGATGTTTCCATAGCAACTAATTGTGTTATTACAAAATGGATTCATATCCCTGTTAGGTAGCAAAAACATGGATCTCATTTCATCAAGTAGTTAAGCCTTTAATATTAAACCTTACTTTTAAGGAGCTTGGATACCATGATGTGTGTGGTACACCTGTTTAGTTACTCGAAACTAGCTTCATTTGCACTGAGGTCATTCCTCCAGTGTTACAGGACCACTGAACTGTCTTTATCTTCTGCCTGACAGACCAGTTTATATTCCTGTGAATTGTCTTTGTATGATTCAAAATGTCTATGACCTTTTCTACAGAGGATGTCATTCTACCTGATGAATCTTCACCAGGTAGGCAACTATAAAGCTTCTGAAAATAGAACTCTGAGAATGAAACCCTTGGAAATACTTGATATGCCCGATCACTTATTTTTTGAGTGACACCTGAGAGCTTGTCTCCATTCAAGCTTCAACATGCGACTGCATCATTGTTAAATTAGTCCAGGGCTGTTCAACTGGCAGCCTGCAGCTCACAAGGGGTTATCACCCTGTTTGCTGCTCTCACCACTCCAGCTGTTGTTGCTACTGAGGTCTCTGAGCAACCCTTCCTTCTCCAGCTTTTGGTTCCTGCCTCTGCTACATGGGGCAAGGGTGGAAGGGAGGATCCATGGTCTATATGAGGTTCGGCCCTCACCCACTTAGAAGGTGGACAGTTCTGTGTTAGCTCACATTTTCTTAAGGTATTTGGGCCCTTTTTTTGAGAACTGTTTTGATTTGGATTATATTTGTTTAAAGTTGTGGTTTGCAGTCTCAATCAGGTACCCTAATTAAATACCCAGAATAAGCATTCTTATTGTTCTGACATCTCTCACAGGCTGAGATTTCAGCTGTGAGAAATCCAGAGCTAAGGTTCCCACAAGTCTGCTCTTTGTAACTATGCTTTATAGTTGCATGAAAGCTATACCTTACACATTTCCATACTATGTGTAGCGAGAAGACTCTAAACTCCCTAGAGCAGTAGGTTTCTTACTATAATGTCCAGCAAAACCAAGCAATGTAATGTATGTCAAAATGCATGTAAATAATGTCTTGCATGTACTGAATATAGTGTCCTTTCTTATTGCTACTCTACACTGTAATGGAGATGCCCTTGTAGTAGGTGTAAGAGAACACAGTTAATTCTTCTGTTGCAGGAGCTGTTTGGTTTGCATATGGCTTGACATCTCATTACTGTATTAAGAAATCTGTTTGATTCAGTTTGAGACAATATTTCTTGTCACTAATGCAGAGTGGAAGACAAGGGAATATACACAATGGGGGCCAACAGCACCACTGCTATGTGCTAATCTTGCTCAGGCACAATTAAAATTAGGAGGCTTATAGGAACTTTCAGTAACCCTGTCATGCAAGTTTGGGGAAATAAAAAAACAGAATAGAAGTTTGTATGGTACTTGGAGTATATTGAACCTGCTGTCTTCCTGATAGCTTTATAATATTTGCATGTAAGCAACAAGCTGAATCTTTTTATACACTAGTGTCACTGGGCTGAGCCAGGTGACAATCCACAATAGCATGAGGGCAGTGACTCAGACCTGACTAACATAGTTTAATTAAAGCTGGCTTTTAGAGGGGAGATGTGCCAGATGGTATGACTTATGTAGGTGTGCAACCTCTACATATGCAGACAATAGTCAAATATTGTACTTTCCACATTAGTGAACAGCAAAGGATTTAAAGCTAACACCACTTTCTTTGATTTTTAACTGAATAGAATAAATTGCTTAATCACATGCCACTGCCTCTCCCTCTGTATTAGAAAACTGTTGGCATAGAAAAACTGTTCTCATTCTGAAGGTCATGAATGTAAGTCAGTATAGCACTTTTCAGGCATGTGCTGCTATTGGGGCAGTTTGATTCATGATCATACATGTCATTGTTAAGCAAAACTTGAGAGGAGAAATAAACGTCTGCTATTTGAAATAAAGCATGTTCTTTTATGGTAAATGGGAGAAATTATCCTTGCATCTGAAAAAATCCAAAACACTTCCTAATACTTGGTCATCCATTCTTTCTAATATATTCTGAAAAAAGACAAAGCATAAATTGCTGTTGACCATCTTCTTCTTTGTCTCGACTCCATCTGGGAGGTTTCTTTTGTTGTCTGCCTTCCATATTAATTATAATTATACAGTGATATATGTTCTCGGTTTATAAGTACTGAGCTGTTTTTGAAATGAGTTACTTAGTAACACTTTAGCAAATATTAATGAGGCACATTGAAACTACCAGCAAATCTTTTTCAGGACAGCTGGTTTAAAAATGCGTATGTAAAGTTGGTGGTCCTAGCGTATGTCCACTTGTCTACAAGTAATTGGATACTACTTACACAAGATATTTCATTACTGTATTACTGCTACAGCTGTTGTGCACAAGTGTGTGGTGCCACTTCTATAGGTGGATGTAGCAGAAAGAACATAGAGTCAAAGATCTTGGAGAAATTGGTACTAAACTGGTAAACATGGACACTAACAGTTTAGCTACACAACAGAGTGAGGCTTTTCCTATACAACTCTAGTAATATACCTTGACCAGTCTTAGAGGATCTGCCCCTTGGTGTGAGAGGAATTTCACTGCAGTCTGTCCAGCTCCAGGCTCTTCTGAGGAGATGGCTATTAAGGATGGCAGTTCTGAGGTGAGCACACAACCCTAGGAGATGGACTAAGACAAGCAACTTGTTCCATGGGCAGTGAATTGGCTTCATCAGATTGACTGATAATATTCCGTACTGCTTTGCTAAGGTATTCCAAAATAGGTGTACTGTACTTGCACTGGGTGCTCCCTCCAGGTTTCTGTGTAAAAGGCATAAAGGGCCACAACCATACTTAAGTCCCCTGTAACCTCAGAAAGCAACTGGGTGGAATCTAGCTAGTGTGCAGTTTGACATCTTCATTGGAAGATCTCAGGATACTTGGCTCTACAGATCAGTGATCTGACCCAGAATTTTCTTATCTCTAACAGTGACAGTAGTAGATGGTTTAGAGAGAGCGTATGAACAAAGAATGAGCTATCCGCCATCATACCCTCCCTGGTATCTACTGTCATTGCTTTAGGGAGTTCAGAGGTTACATCCCTAACTCTTCTGTTTAATAGCTATTTATGGATGATAGATCCATTAGTCTAGTCCTTTTTTGAACCTAGCTGACTTTACTACCTCCTGTGGCAATGAGTTGCACACAAACTATGCTTCATAAAGAAACAAAAAAAAAAAAACCCTTCAGTTTTAAAACTGTATCCTGCATATTTCATCGAGTGCCCCTTAGTTTTAGTATTCCAGGACTTGTAAGTAACTGCTTCCTATTCACTTTGTCTACACCCTTCATGGTTCTGTAGATAAGGGATCCACAACCTATAGCTTTCAGATGTGGAGCTTTGGTGGTGACAGCTGCAGGAGGTCTCCCCATGTTGCCATGATGGAGAAATGCGCAGTGGTGGCAGCAGTGGCTTGGTCCTAACTGGATCATTCCAGACCAAGTCTTTAAAGGTTGCTGACTGTTAAAGATCTCTATTATCTCTTCCCTCAGCCTTCTTTCCATTTTGAAGAGACTAAACGGCCTAGGACCCTTCTGGTATGGCAGCTGCTCCTTACTCCTCATAATCTTGGCTACCATTGTCTGTAGTTTTCTATTTTTTTCTGCATCTTTTAAGATACGGAGTCCAGAATTGCACACAGTATTCAAGATGTGTATGCACCATGTATTTGTATAGTGGTATCTTGTTTCCTCTCCTCAGTGCTATTCTTAATGATGCCCAACACTTTGCTAACAGGTGGCCCTGCCCATGATGAGCAGCAGTGGCCAGTGCTGGGTACCAGGCAAAAGCAGGACCCAGCAGCAGTTGCATGTGCTGCTTCTGGGGCCTTTCCAGCTGTGGCTACCTAGAGCTCATGACAGGGCTGGCTGGCAGCTCCTTCTCACTGCTACTGCCCTAAGTCTGTGGGATGGTGGTGGTGGCAGCAGGGAGAAGCCACAGGGCAGCCCCAGCATGGACTCTGGACAACCACAGCTAGAAGGGCCCTAGAAGTGGCAAGTGTGCCTGCTACCAGGTCCTGCTTCTGCCCAGCACTAGCAGCTGCCTTTCATTATGGGCAGAGCCGCCACTGTCTCTGCCTTCCCCTCCCTCA